TGGAAAAATGAATGGCTTATATTACTATCGACGATGGCACTCCGCTTGGAAAGGTTTTGCCCTCGTAGTCAGCAGAGCCAATCTGACCAGCAATAATGAGAGTAATCGAAATCTTTTCTTGCGATATCCATCCAGGCCTTGCTTACATCTCGCTCTCCATATTTTCCTACATACGGCAAGTAAATAATATTCAAATCAAGCAGTTCTATTTCTTAAAAAAAATCTAAGCCTAAGTTTTTTTTTAATTCTATGAAATTTAATCAAAATCTTAATTTTATAGTGTGCTTTTATAATCCTTTTTTTATATTTTTATTGTGATTTATCTGAGTTCATATAGTTTTAAGTTCGAATTACATATAGTATATTCATCATGAATAATTTTTTTTTTCCGACAAACCGATGGTATTACTCAGCTTTCAAGCAAGAATCTTCTGCCAAAGAATCGTAGAGATGGATGGATGACCAAAATTCATTTTTAATAAAAGGCTAACAAAATCAGAGATTGAATTATCATATCAACGTACCGCACTATCACTGCGTCGATTTTTCAAAGCGGCAAAAAGATTGCTGTTATTATAAAAATTGTTATCGGTCAATGTAACCGTGTTTTTACATGAAAACGCCGAAAACAAAATTACACTTCACATTTATAAATTATTTTGATAAACTTATCAATTTATCAAAAATCATTAAAAATCTACGAAATGGATAGCGATGCCTGGCCAGAATGTGCAAATACATTTAATGCAAAAAATACTAAAGGGATCTTAAAAAAATAGAATATTATTTCAGTAATGTCGATTATTTCCAATAATCTATATAAACTTCTTTCTCGTGATGTCTGAGATCAGTCTTATCCGAAAACTTTATTATAAATTTCCTTCCCCATTTCTTCAAGTACTTATATCGCTAACCTTTTTTCAATAGCCTAGGGAATTCATTAAAGGCAAAATTAGTCTAATTTAGCAAATGAATATTGCCTAGGGGTCTTTTTCCATTCAATTATGAGGCATCTAATTTTTTTTTCATTCCTTTTCATTCCATTTATTTCTGCAAAGATTACAAGCAAACTTATTGATATATAATTATATATCAAATGTATTATTATAAATGTATAAATACATATTATGATTTATTATTGTTATTATTATTAATAATTATTATTAATTATTGATTATTATTTATTATTATTAATTATTATTAACAATAATAATTATTATTATACTAAACAAAGGTATTCTGATTTTATAAATTATGTGTCCAAAATTTATTTGAATTGGAAAACGAAGGATACGAAAAGCTTAAAATTTTCTATTCAACGAACGAAAAGGGAGAGTACTTATTCATTTAAATTCTAATTTTCTTCCGACGAGGCACTTCATAGATGAATTAAAATTTCTGAATTTCCTAGAATCCACTCAAGAATTTTAAATTTAGTTTTCGATTGCATTCTTGAATTGTTCACTTCCAAAATTGAATCCAAAAAACTGAAAAAACTATAGCAATTACTTGATTATGCTAAATGTTCAACGATCTATTCTGGGCTGAAGCCTCGCAGCAGTTCACGACAAATCACCAAACCCCGTAAACATTTTGTCTTCTCATTAATAAACGAGGAGGAAGTACCACGGTGCGCAGCACTGTACTTATATGTGCTTGGGCAATGACCCACAAGAAAAGCAATAGAGAGCGCGAATAACAAAATCAAATATTTCCGAAATAATAATTTAATAATGGTTAAATATTTTGGTCAATTTTATTCGAGCAAAATATATTACAACTTGCAAAACTTAAATTATTAGGTGAATGGTAACCAATGCGAGAAATCCTCGTTAAATCCTAATTCATTGAATCACCGGGATGTTCGCACTTCGGTTAACGATTCTCTCATCTAAGTTATATGATCTTCCTTAAGATCAATCCTTGCCAAATGAGCCAAATGAAATGCGTTTATTTAATTCTACTGGTTCATAAAATCAATCGTCAAATCACCATTGCCATCGGCACCATCGTCAAATCACCATTGCCATCGGCACCATCACCATCGCTGAAAATTTAAGAAAAAGAAAACATTCATATCATCCATTACATCCATGTAATTGCATCCATATGGCTGATAATGAATTTTATCAAATTATCCTCCAATTAATCACCTATAATCTTTTATAAATGACGAAAATTAGGGAGGTCAAAAGGTCAATCAAAGAAAAATTATATTTTTGCAATAGATGTCCGATCGGGATAAATTATTTACGATGGCATATTAAATTGCTCAATCAAGTAGGGGGGGGGGGGATTTAATCAATTTTATTTCGTATTTTATACGTCAAAAATATATGCGTTGATAGTTAATATTATACCTACAAATATCCATGCAATATTTTTATTGGTAGTAATTTTCGTTGACCTTTTGACCTTATTGCCGTTATTCAACAAACTAATTTTTATTTTTGGTTGGGTCTCAAAATGTTTTTCTGACTACTGTAGTTAGTTCGAATTATTTCTATTACATTTTTACATTTTTATGTGGAAATGGGTCGTTATTTGTTTTTATTTTCGCAGATTCATCGTGATTTTCGAATCTCTGAATTTTGTAGTATTTGTTCCTTATTTAACATCGATTTCGATCTCAAAAAACTATCTTTGGAGGTGATTTTTTTTCTAAAAGTTTCTTTAATTTAACGATAAAGAATTGTTTTTATTATTTTGCCAATAAGGACGAAAATCGCGTTCGTATTACTGCAGTTCGCTCGACCTTGCTATATGGCTGTGGCCAATGAGAGTGGAGGATATTAAGAAGCTATCTGCCTTCGACCACTCTTGTCTGGGGCACTTTGCGGGTTGGTTCGCGGAACGGATAAAATCCCACATTCTACCGTTCATCTTCGCTTAAATACCATTTGCATGAAGAGTACCGTCACAGATCATTGCATTCTCTGGCTAAGGCACGTTTTTTGTCATCCACTGCAGAAGTTTATAGGCAGTCTATTTGCTAAACTCTTGATGGATGGCGCTAAAATCGAGGAGGCCAAGACCTGCACTAAAACAGTCAGGAAAACAATCAGGAAAGAGGTTAATTTATAGAACTTATGGGCCAGCGATATATTTAGACAGTGGAAAAAGGAATGACTACTACTGTTGGCGATAGCACAGGTGGAACAGCTTGGAAGCGCCTAACCCTTGTAGCCAGCCAGCGGAGTCAGCCTGAGAGTAATGGTGGGAGCTATTATTAAAAGAAGAAGAATGAATATTAATAAAAATAATATACAAAAATATTGGCGAAGAATGGAATGGCTCAGTGGGTTATTGGTCTTTTTTCGGAGTATCGGTACAGGTGTTCTACTCACTACAAGAGCAGATCTGTCAAAAATCTAAAGGATTCGGGGATCTCACTTGTTTCGCTTTTTCTTAAATACAAATACAAATGTTATGGTGTATAAAAGATGTTAAATCTTATGATGTTTCGATTTAGATATTATATGTTTGATGGTTCTATGTGGGAGCAAAATTTGACGCTGCTGAAAACTAATCGGTACTTCTATTTCTAGGTAGTTCTCTGACCGAAAGTCTATTGTCTAGTGAAAACAAGAAAAACAACAAAAAAAAAGTGTTTTAAGAAGAAAAAAAAGAAATACCTACAAATTCATATTGTTATTGACTTTAAAATTGAAAATAATGGACAAATTAGTTTTAGATGTGAACTTCATAACTTCATAAATTATAAATTATCGAACCATCTTTCCAATTTCATTAATTGATAGGTCATTTGATGTATGAGTAGAAAAAAATGAATGCTCAAATAGGTTCTTATTTTCATTATTTTTTAAAAATTTTTTCCTATATCTTCGAAATTTAGAGACATATTAGCATAATCGATTTGGCTAACGAAAAGCAAGTACAACAAATTATTTCCCGTTCAATTCTTATCAAATTTGGAATTGATCTTATTTCATATGCAAATTCATTCGAAAAACTTCTCGTTGAAATTCGAAGAAAGCGATTTTTATTTAAGGTTTAAACCTTTAATAATTTAAATAATTTTGGAATATTATTGCATCAGCTAGAATATTAATATTAGATAAAATTTTGTTCTTACATGTTCTCCTTTATTCTTTCTTTTTTTTTCGTTAATATTTGTTAATTTAGAATTTCGACACATGTGGTCAGTCATTTTCGATAAAAAAATTTCGGATAGGTGGCAAAAAGGCAACCGAATTAGATAATCAATGTTCAGTTAACAATTCTGATAAAATTGAGGTGAATAATTTTATTATTCGTATTGTTCTTCTACTACTACTTCTTCTACTGCTTTATATTTTAGAATTTTCATGATTTAACTATTACTTCATTAATTCCTTCCTTGCTAACTCTACTGTTAATTTCACTTATTCTACATTGATTCTGTTTATTCGAAACTGGGCATAGTTCACCTCTTAGTCTTAGTCAACATCAATAATTTTATCTGAAAAAAGAGCAAAAAAATCCAAAAATCACTAAAAAATGACTTTATAAACATTGATTAAACTCTCTCACTGATGGATGGATGGAACGCCATCCAATTCTCCGATAGTGTAAATGATTACATTGGAAAAAAGCGGGAGAAAAACTGATTTTTCTTTAAAAAAAGATTTGTAGTATCCTAATATCCCTAATACCATCATCTATAATAAATAAATTGAAGAATTTCCATAACACAAAGGTGCAGGTCTATATTTTTGAAAGTCTATATTTTTTTTATTAGTACAGTTGATGTTTGGTGTCTGTTGATGTTTTGCGTTAATTTTATTAATGCAAGGCTTTATCTATTTCCTCTCTTGATATTTTAAGAAATAAATGTAATTTTCATAAATTTATAGAATAATATTATTTTTTTCATAATTTATTAATTCTCTTATAATGAATTAACATGTCATTTAATTAGTAGAAATAATAATTAATCTAATTAACACCACTTTTATAAGTTTTCTTTTTATTAAAATTTGACTTTTTAGGAATTAGCGTTGGCATTATCGTTTGAAAATTCACATGTAAATCTAAAAAATGCCAATATCAACTTTATTTTTATCGAAGAAAACGATAAGTCATTCTCCGATGAGCAAATATTTTATTTTGGAAAATTGGTGCATAGTGACATTTTTTTAATTTTAACTTTTATTTTTTTTATAATTTGAAAAAAGATTTTTAGTTTTTTTATTTGCAACTTTTTAAGATTGGATTTGGTCAATCACATTTAGTGCAAAAGTACAATTTACAAGAAAGGCGATATATTGGTAACACGACTATGGACCCTGCATTATCATTTATACAAGCAAATATGGTTAAAGCTAATCACGGATCACTTATTTTGGATCCATTTTGTGGGACAGGTTATAGGTTACTAAATTAGCTATATTAAATTAACAATTAATCCTATATTAAATTAGCAGTTACGATATTATTTGTTATTGAAATAAAATATTAGTGCATGCGATTATCTTATTTTCATTGGGATCATAAAAATTGTGAAATTGAAATTAATAGATTAATAATTTATTAATAAAAATTATTAATTAAGATATTAAAATTATTAACGAAACTAATTAATTAATAAAAATTAATTAATTTTATTAAAAAATATAATATTATTAAAAAATATTAATATTATTAAAAAAATTAATAAAAATTAAGCAAAGAAAGTCTTACGCTATTATATTTACTGAAAGCAATAAATAAAGGGATATAATGTGAAATAGTAAAGCAATGTTAGTAAATGTAAAATATGAAAAAATGAAAAATATATTGGAATTACAAGCAAATAAAGCCAAATAATTCCTTGTATAGTTTGAACAGTTTTATTTAATTATGCAAGGAACTGATATCGATAAAAATAGATAAACCAGAGCTCCGCATTTCTATGAGGTTTATTCTATTAATAGAGCGAATAAAAATCCCAGTTTATTTTGCACCCAAGCTTTTGAATTCTTTTCCATTATTTTCTGTTACATTCAAATATAAATCGAAGTTAGAGGGAAGGGATAACTAACTCTTATTCAGGCTATCATCTCAAGCATTAAGATTCAGATTCTGCATCCGACAGGAATGCACATATTACTAAATTTAGTATACCTCTGACTTCTTGACAAAGATATCTCACAGTATTTATTGTCACTCATGCAAAACAAACCAGAAATCGTTGGCTTCAATAACTTGCTTATAATTGAATATTTCCAAATAAAAATTTGTAAGTCTAAACCAGATTTCTTTTAATTCTCATAATTTTTAAAAAATTTAAATTATAAGATATGGAAACGTGTTAAAACATCAAAAGACTCTGTAATAATTTATATTTTAATTTATATTTAATCTGGGAAAATAGCTTATAACTAAACTGAATTTTAGAAATTGATATTTTAAATTTATTTTTAAATTTAAATTTAAATTTTTAAATTTTGATAAGGAGGTTTTTATATTTGTTTTTGAAAATTTTAAACGTTATTAAATTATTAAATTAATATTTAATTTTTTTGCGATTAGCCTATATTAGTTAATTTAATTTATCAGTTTCTTCGTAAATCATCGTCTGAATCATCCATATACAAAGTAGTTTTATTATTTTATTATTTTATTTTTATTATTTTATTTCTTTTAATCATCCACCTATTTTTTCATTATACATGAATTGCGTGGAATAACATTTATTTCTGCTTTAGGTGGACTTCTTATTGCTGCAGCTCATTTTGGCGCTGCTGTTATGGGCACCGAAATCAATTATCAGGTGGCTCGAGCTGTTGGTGAGAATACTTAAAAATCTTGCTTTAATTTTCTTATAATTTTACGTCTTATTCTTCCCAAAGAGATAAATAACATAATTCATATTTGTGAATATCATTTTTCATATCATATCATTTTTTCATTATATCATATCATTATCATTAGAATATCATATCATTTTTTATTCTTAGGAAAATCTTCAAGAATGGGCCAGAAGTTTTTAACAGACGATCAATCAATTGCGGCTAATTTTTGTCAATATTCATTAAATGACCGTTTTATGGGTGTTTTGCTTGCTGATGCGAGTAAGCATGAAATTTGGCATTATAATAATTTTGGCTTTGTGGATGCGATTCTAACTGATCGTATGTCAATATTAACTTTTTTTTTGAATTAACATTTTAATTTTTTTCATTTTTTCAATTTTAAGATATCTGCTTTTTTGTTTCTGAAGTTCTCGGTTCTTTCTCTTTCAATTTTCATTAATTTTCATTCATTAATTGTTTTTGATTTGCCTTTAAAGATTCATCTTCATAAATGACATGCCTTGTCAGCCAGAGTGAAAGAGCATGGGCTTATCATGTTGTTCAATGTTTGATTTCCATAAGTTTTAGCATAGATGATATCATCAAGTCCATGATATTGTGTTCTGAACTGATTTTATTGTTGGTAAGTGATGTCTCAATTTATTGCATTCGGAATTGTGAGAGTGGACGCATTATTATGACACATTAATTAAGAGTATATTAAAGTAATGTTAAGGTGTCGGACGGTCACACATTGATATCAGTCTTTCTAGCAAACAACTGACAAAAATTGTCCAAAAAATATCTAGTAAGTTCCTCGACACTTGTCGCATCAACTTTTTTTAGAGTTGAAAAAACTTGAAAAAAATTTCTTTGAATATATTGCATTCAGTTCGAAGACCATCTTCGACGGTTGTATTGGTTCACGCTTCTGAATTATAGTGATTGTTTTCTATTAATTTTGTTCGTAAGTTATGTTCATATGGCCCCAAATGTACTTCAGTCATTGCATTAATCTTCTTTATACTTATAATTTAATGACTATTTTGTGGCGTTGGTAGCTGGTACTGCGCACTCTTCAAAATGTTCGTAAGGTTCATCTAATGAAAATGGACAAAACATTGTAAAGTTTCTTTTAAAGGTATCTCCCGATCGTTTTTTGGTGATATCTTACTCTTACTGTCTATAAATTTCATTGCTATTGAGCCCTAATTTCTTTTTCAAATTTATTACTTATACTTTTTTCAATAAATTGAAATTTCCAGCTCCTTATGGTGTCCGTGAGAAAATTCAAAAAATTGGGAAAAAAAGTCGGAAAGATCATTATTTGTCTTTAAATGAATGCAGGTAATTTTTTCATCCTTTAATTCCACTTATTTTTGGAAAAAAAGTAATAAAATTTTTTATTTGACCTATTTGGAAAAATCCGTTACATATAATTTCCCCTTTTATTTTTCATTAGACTACCTTTTGCAGATTGGTCCATCCTACAGCATTCTAATTTCCTCCCAAAAATATTTGTGCCTTTTGTTCCATAAAATTTTTCAGTGGACGGCGTTATCCGGAAAAAGCAAAATATGAGATTTCTTCATCATTTTTAGATCTTTTAAATTTAGCTGCACGTTTGCTTGTTGTAAAAGGGCGTCTTGCATTTTGGTTTCCATCAATCGAAAGAGAGTTAGTTTTTACTTTTTTTTATTTTCCCAACGATCTTGTATATCTAATATTTTTAAACTTTTTATTTGTGCGCAAGAAATAAGAGTTGTAAATAAGCATTGGTAAGGAGCATGGTTTCAAGTGGTCTGCTGCATCAGTTTAGGGTCGAGCTTCGCGGAATCGATTTATGCACCTTGACTCGTCATCGAAATAAAATTTAAATCGATGCCCATATTTTATTCCTCTTTTCTCTGGCAAAAAGATTTATTTCAATCAAAGTGAGGCCATTCAAGCTAGAAATGAGAATCAGAATAATGGTGTTAAGAATTATAAGGATTTTACTCGAAAGCAAGAAATAATATTAATATTATATCAATGTTTATTTAGTTTCTCATTTTTTTATTCTGCAAAAAATAGAAAATTTAGGATACTATCATGCTATTTGAATATGAGAGGTTAATTTAAAAAATCGAAATCAAATGTTAATTGAATTTTAAACAAAAAGTCATAGATTTGCCATTGTTCATAAAATATTCATATTTTACAACAAATATAATTAGGCTGCTCAGCATTTTGTGTAAAATTAGTTTCGGATTTTAGACATTCACTTCCTTGAGGGCATTGGTCGTTTTCCACGTGATTGCCTGGATTGCATAATAATAAACTTAGATTTGTGATTATCTCTCCTATCGGACATTCTAAAAATTTCATTGAACTTGTAATAATTTTCAAATTATTTATTTTAAATTATTTATAAATTAGATACTTGGTAAGATTGCATTTTCTTTATTTTGACAGCAGATATGTTGTTGATTCATAACGCTATATACGCAAATGGCGCCTTTAGTATCGCAGTCACTTGATTTGGTACATGTTTGCGGATTACCTCGTTCACTCCACGCATAGTAACATTCTTCTACTGAAAAATATATATTTAATCAAGTTTTTTCTAGAAAAATATTTAATAATTTACAAGCCATATTAATGTGGAAAGTTTAAAGGTATCGCTTACCGTTGCTTTTAACAGTTGCAAATTCATTAAAGAAAAGGAAAATAGTAATAGTAATAATAATAACTTTCATGTCTGCTATGTTTTTCGATTATTCAGGCTGAAAAGGAAAATCTAAGCGTTATTTAATGGCTTAAATGATTCTCATTTTGGTTTGATTTTAGAAATTTTTATCATTAGAACATCGAAGAAAGATATCATTTTCCTTTTTTTCTCATGAATTTAGTGCCCAGTTCATAACTCAGGTTCGGATGCCTGTGGTAAAAATAAATCTTATCCTTAATAGTAGTGTTAGAGCCACCTATATGTTAGTCTCAAAGGAACCCCTTGAATAAAAATTTTTTATCGTACTTAGTTGATAGATAATGCGAGCTAATGAAATATGATTCGTTGAAAACTTTTATTGAAATATTATAACGCGAAATTTTTTCAAAAATGATTTAAAATTATCGGCAAATTTATAAAAAATTGTCTAATTTTTTTTGCATTAAATGGCATTTTTATCACTTAATGTTTATATATTCATGAGAATTAATTGGCTATTCGTATTAGCCGTATTAACAGCTGTGAAAACTTTGAATGAAAATTCAATTCAGCTGAATTTTTTCAATAAATTAGCTGTCGATTAAGATTATTACTAAAAATTGTTTGATCTTAGGCACATTAAGGCCCTTAATTTTTAACAACTTTGATATTTTTTTCACTATTCAATCATTCAGCTAATGAAAATGATGCATAAATGATACATTTACGTCTTTACTTACTCGTTAATAGGCTCGTTAACTTATTAGCAAAGGTACTTTCGTACTTTTAAAAATACTATATTTATTGGAGTAGAAATATTAAAGGTATTGTGACAACGTATTGCCGCGGCACGATGCTTTCGAATTAATTGCGAATTGTAAGCAACCTCTTACCACTCGTTATTCGCGGTGAGTGATTTTATTTTTACAGTTTTGTTAAATGAATGCTTTTTTTAGTTGGGCAGAAATAAAAACATTTTTCGTTAATTTGAAAAATTTTCGTTTTATTCTTGATTTTTCTTTTTTCAAAAAATATTACATTAAATTAGAGATTAAAGAATTTAGATCATCGATTATGATTATAACCACTGAAATAACGCCATTCGTTCGTGATTTTGGTGATAATATAGGTACAAATTATTAAAATGAGATTGGGAAAATGTTCTTAGGAGCATTTCAATCAATTTTTGGAGAAATTCTGGAAAGGCTCATTTGTTTAAATTTGATCTGATAACAATGCATATCTTAATTTAATCAAAATAGCGATAAAAAGGAAAAGCTATAAAAGGGTTTATTATGAATAATAATTGTAAATTCGTTCAAACAACCAAGGAAATTTAAAAAATAAATTTAAAAAATCGCAAAAATATCATAGTGTAATGTCCTGGTTTCAATAGAAATTTTTTTTTTTGCGGTCATTAGAGATTTTTTTGGTTGCGGTCAATTTTTAAGATATTTGCATCAGATATTTTATTGAAAATCTGTTAGTCGTTGAAATATTTATATAAGTGAAATAAATCATTTTTATCAAAATATTATATCAGAATAATAATTGTGTAGTAAGCAGAAGTAGTACAGATGAAGATGGATTATAGGAAGGAGCAGGTATTAGTGCTATAATTGCGGTCAAGTATGCATGTTATATATATATATATATATCTTATATCCATTCTTTTAAACCCGAAATTAGAAATATTTCAGGCGTTTATTAGTTTACGAGAAGAAACGATTATCGAAAGAATCCGAAAAAGCATATGTTTTAAAAAATTGTTTTGAAAATACAACGTTTAGGCAACAAGTATTTAGTAAAGAGTCGTAAAATTTTCTGTCAAACTTTGAAATTTGGAAATTCAAAAGTTAATTCGGAAATAGGAAAAGTTTATTATCTCATCTATTTTATATCATTTTGCGTGTAAAAAGAGATACGCGGTCGAGTATCCTTTTTCGCACATTTCGCACATTTTTATCAGAGATCTCGTGTATTTCGTTTTAGTTTCTAATTTTTTATTCGTTTTGTCTATTCCATTGATTTACTCAGCTTTTTAAATATTTCCAATTGTATTTTATCCAAGGGAATTAATTTAATAGTTTCATAAAATTTACTTCCTGTTTCTTTTTTTTCAGTCTCATTCCATTTTTTTTCCAGTTTTGCTTAAAGAATATACCTAAAATATTATTTCAACCTAAGGACAAGAGTTTCCAGTCCCTTCACAAAAGTAATTCTGTCATTAAAAATAAAATTCGATTGGTATGACGAGTATTTCTGTCCTAAGCGTTCCTAAGCGTTTCAAACTAGGCATTAGTTGATATAATTAAACCAGAAATAATGTATATTATTAAAAGAATGAAAGGTCGAATAATATTTGAAAAAAAGAATATTTATCAGAAAATGGAATCACATTTTATTGGAATAATTTTGATGCATAGATTTTTTCATAAATGTTCTTTTTTTTTAAATATTTCATTGATTATTGCACTAAAAAAAAAAAAAAATAAATTGTAAATAAAACTATAAATTTATAAATTTATGCACATTTATGAGGATAAAACTGATAAATATATAAAGATATCTGTCTTATCACTTATTTTCATCTAAAGTTATTTCACCGTTTGCTTTTATATCACTGCCTTTGCTATTTAACGATAACCAAAATTCTCCTCGTCGATCGCAATATTTCATCTTATTCTCGCATTTTACATCAATTAATAAGTATCTATCCGTATTGTTTGCATTGGCTGGTTTCCATTTTATTGGATTATTATTCGGTAATTGTTCTAACAGACCATTTGGATTCCTAAATTCGAAATTGATTTGATTTGAAAAAATGGCTTTCAATTTATTTTTTAGCACAAAAATAATTATTTTATCATATCATATTTTATCATATCATTTTATCATATCATAAATAATCATTTTATGATATATTGTTTGTTTGTTTTTTCTCTAAAGAAAATACTCGAGGGAAATTAAATTAAATCATTGATTATTTACCCGTATTTCGCAAAATTCGTCCACAATTTACTCATAAAATCCATCATGTTTTTATCATTTTCATTAAATTTGAAAGATAAAACAATACTTTTACCGAATAAATAAGTTAATTCTGTGCAATGTGTTGATCCTAAAATAATAATTATTTTCTCGCTGCCTTTGTTAGCTGAAATAAATTTCAGACGAAAATCTTTAAATCTTTTCATTTAATGATATTTAAAATTTAAAAAATTAAATATTTAGAAAATGAAAATGGACCGATTAAAAAATTTTTTTAATTTTGCTTTTCATAACCGAAAATAAATTTGGACGTAAAAAAAATGGGTATAAAAAAAACTCTATCGAAGCATTTGTTCGCCGTTATTCAATTAGTGCTTATTGATAAAATTGATAATTTTTGTTGATAATTTGGTCAAAACTGATAACTTTAATGTATTTCCTTCTATTTACCCATTAATTTATTTAAGCATCGTTTCAGCATCGTCGGCCATCTATGAATTCTCCTATTTTTCCTATTTTAATGGAAATCTGAACGGAATTCTCAAAAAAAAAAGAAAAAAAATAATCGACATCACATAAAATTTTTAGGGAATATCTTAAGAAAACCTATGGAATAAAAATTGCTCAATTACAATTGTTAAATATTAGAAGGGATAAAATAGCGCAGTGGCTAGTGGATTGTTGATTGAGTGGATTATTGAGAACCAAGGATTCGGCTATTTGATCTCCTGCAGGAGAAAAAACCTTTTTAAAAAACTAAGTGGTACTCATTTATTCTATTCGTTCTCCAATTGAGCCTCAAGCAAAAATTTTAAACAGTTTTCTAAACGGTTAACCAAAAACGAGCACTAATGTGCTTATCACTAATGACTTGATTCGAATAAAATAAAAACGAATAAATAAATAAAATAAAACCTTTAAATGGTATGGCTAATGATACTAATCCAAAGCTTTTTGGATTAAAGTAGTTAAATGAATATAAGTAAACTTCTTGGCCACTTTCCGCCATCAATTTCGTATATTTATAAGTACCATTATTTACAAATAAATCGCTGTATAACTGAAAATTCTGCATAAATTTAAGAGACATGTTCACTATTTATTTATTTAAGAAAAGATCATTCTTCGTAAAATTCTAAATGAAGGAAAACTTTCAGATTTTCACTATTTTCTTTTAATTTTACTATTTTTATTTATTAAATTTATATATTCAAAATTATAATCTTCTAATGCTAAGAATTAATTATTTCATCGAAAGCGTCTCGTATGAGTCGAATTTATCATATTTTTGCTTATAGCTTACCTAAATTAACTATTTCGATATTCTTTTTTTTTTAAGTTTTTCAGAAATTTTCTAATTTAAAAGTATATATTAATGAAAAGTGTATTACATTAATATATGCCTCATTTATTAAACGTTTGCATGGTTTACGTTGATTTCGAAAATAGAGATTGCGCGCTTGTTGCCTCAAATCTCGCCAATCGCTGAATTTCTCTTCCGGTATACTCACTGATAACAACTTATCAATGCCATTTATATTAATTTGTCCAGGATTTAATGCAGCTAAAATTAAAATTTTATATTATAATTGATTTATTTTAATGGCTAATTAAAAAAGCTTCTTTCGTGTTTCTCGTTCATAAGCGATTCATTTAAAATATTCCATTAAATAGAAACAATCGAGGAAGGAAGACGTTATCACAAGGAATATTTTTACACGTTGAAAATCGCTATCTATTTTATCGAATTTACTCGATTCAACTTTAAAATCTTGAAAATTTTCGTTATCAACATGCGTAATCCCATTATGCATTAGGGCAATGCTGACTGGAACATATATTAGGAATTCGTACTTAGAATAACGTTTCTACCAAGCGTCGCACATGATTGCACTCATTATTTCTCAAAAGCCATCTACAGAAACCATTAGTATCGTCACAAAATGGTAACCATATTCTTACAGGAGCCCACTAATTGTTAAGCTCTATGATCGATGGTGTTAAAACCGATAAAAACTGGTCTATCACCGTTAGAAGAGATTTTGAATGCATAAGCAATTCTGTAATATACGGGTTCAGACGGTGAGTCGATCTTTAAACTTAAGGTATGGTATCGGAAACCGAAAGCGTGGAAACGTCCTAGTCGCCAGTGCAATGATTTAAACCAGGCGTAAGCCGCTAGAAGAACATTAACAATATCAAATAATAATATTAAAAATAATAAAATAAATAAAATATCATAGATTCAGCTATCCAAGCACTAAAAGAAAAATACGATGCCAAGTAAAAAAATTTATCCTAAAAATTCAAATGTATTTTAAACGGAAAAGGCTTACTGAACAATAATGCTTCATACTGACATGTTCCAGCCATATGATTCTTTTTCGGAGATTCCAATCGAAGTTCATCGATAGGCTTTGGAAAGAAATCGCCATCGATAACTGGCGCTAAATCCAGGCCAATTTGTTGCCTATCGATCGCAGTTGCATCAAAAAGACTTCGCTCGAAAATTTTTGATGGCTTCTTCCTCAAGTATTTTAGCATTTCAAGATCAGCGTCTATATCTGAAAAATTACACTATAAATCATTTTCCCAAAACTTTTCAATACTCAGCGTTTTTTTCGAGTATTATAGTTCTTTTAAGAAAAAATTCGTGCAAAAAAAATTATTTTTGCAAAAATAAATACCTTCGTTATTGGATTTCCAACCTGCTCTTTTAGCGAATCGCCTGCAAAGTTTCACTATCCTGGATTTTTCGGTTAAACCCCACTCGCATTCTGCATTCCCAGCCATAACAACAATTCTTTGGAAGAGGTCTAAATTTAAAAAAGATTCGAGCTGATCTTCACTCATCTCGGTGAATTTAAGTTCTTTGCAAAGATAAAGTATAAATAATGATATGATGAAAAATGAAATCCGATATAGCAAAATATTTAAAAAAAAAAAGAAATGAAGGAATAAAAAATGAAAAATATAAATTTTTGTTTTAGAAACTTAAAATCAACACAGAATTTAAATTAAATTTTCGCATTTATTTATTTTTTCATTTATTTAGAATAATTTTCCTTGCCCAGAAAATCAAATTAACAAATCCTAACCCCTTGAGTGTGGCGATAAGTTTAATAAATCGGCACAAACGCCACCCGCACTTTGACCAAACACTGTCACCCGTTTAGGATCACCATTAAAAGCGGTAATATTGTCCTAAAAATAGAGAATTGTTAAAGGATTAACGCGTACAATATATCAAAATTCATGGCTTACTGGAAAAGAATTTTGATCTTTATAGTTAATTTTCTGTATGTTATAATGCAAATTCTCGAAAAAACTTCCATGCCTGGATCCACTGAAGAGCCATTGTTTGATCCCATAATCCGAGATTGCCAGGACAAACCTCATTACCAGTAGAAAAGAATCCTAAGAAGCCTAAGCGATATTGTATTGTAACAACAATCACATCATTGCAGCACAGATTGCTGAAAAATTATTAGAAAGTACCAAATTTTGTAGTGATTAATGTAAAGTTCCTTTACCCTATAAAGAGTCACTACAAAGTTATTAAGCAATTTTCAACTTACACACAATGAATGACCATTTTAGTTCATATAATATATTATAAATTCACATTACACTATTACACTATTAAAATATATAATATAATTTGTAAGAAATATGAACTTGTAAAAACATTATTTAATACAAACCACAGCCCCCCTTCTAATACTGATAAACTTATATGATTGGGGGCATAAAGCATAGTGTTCAGTTGTTGTCCTCATTTCGGAGCGTTCTACAGTGGAGTTTATTCACAGTAGTAAACCTGACTTTCAAAAATTCTAGTGATGCTGGTAATTCATTTGCACTTTTATCGCCAACGGCTCTCTGGCAGAATTTGCTTGGTCCAATAATATATTAGAACAAAGCTAACAATCATAAATAGTGGGCGTTCTTATGGGAAAAAATATATAAATATATTATATATTTTTTATATAAAAATTCTTCTAAGAGAACCGACGAGAAATAAAAAATTTTTAATGAAATCGGTGACTTACCGACAAATGCCAATATCACCACAATTTACGGCTGAATCTATTAAAAAACCGCCACCGTGAATATAAACCATTACGGGGAAACCATTCGACTAAAAAACCCATTCGCAGTTTTTATTAATCTATTAATATCAATAACAATTGCATTTACATAAATATGTATATATGTATATAAACCACAATAGACAAGGACTAACGCCTTCTGGTGGTTGCCAAGCTGGAGCAAATACATTTAAATAAAGGCAATCCTCATCCTTCCGAAATTTTCTTAAACGTCGATTCCAAAAGAAATCTTTTTGTGGAGCTCGTGGTCCAAACTTTATTGTATGTTTCACTCCATTCCACGAATCTGGGCGTTGAGGTTTCTAGAATTAAATATTGGAATATTTTTATATTTTATTTACTAAAATAGAGTGAAAATGGAGGGGGCAGAATAGGTGAATTGGCCTAGTTCATCTTTTTTAGTTGCACAGGCTCCATGACAGCAATGAGTTTTTTCAGTGAGTTAAAAATTTTTGTGTCGATATGATTTCGTATAAGCGTTAGCTTAAATCCGTATTAGCTTAAATTTTTTATCGTGGGAATGAAATCAGAAATAGTGATCGCTAATCTTATCACTAATCTCTTACTACTTATTCTTACTTTTTGCATTTTTGCGACAAAATATTATAAATCAAAACCAAGAAAAAAATTTGGCAAAATGGTATAATTTACCAATGATAATAACTTTAAATTATTCACAAATTAATAAGTTAGCAAATGTTAAATATCCAAAATTAGTAAATTTTTTTTTTAAACTTTAAAATTTAAAATTTTAAAAAAATAAATATTAATATTTCGTTTAAATGATTTCAAAAATATCAGTTATTGTAGAACTATTTAAAGCAATTGAAAATTATATCCACTGTGGAAAAATTCTTTTCAAGAAATCTTTTTTTATTCTTTGGCGTGCAGCTCAATTGGATGCCCTCGGGCAACACGCAGCTTGTAAGCTTTGACTTAAATATTGAAGTATACTATATGTATATATATGTCTTTAATGTGAGGCTTAAGATAATTCCTCTTTAGCAATGGGGCCAAAAGATTTGGCAGCCATTCAATTTAGAATTCGATTCCCATTTTGATTTTTTTTTTTCAATAATTATCAAAAATTAACGATCGATGAAAATACCGTAGCATTTATCCTAAAGCGTAAATTGCTAAAAAATTACCTTAAATCTTAATTCACCAACTGGTGGCTTAGCAAATTGTATGCCAAGAAATGCATCGATTTGTAAATCATTCTCATCAATTAATCGTAAACCTTCAATTATTCCGTAACACGTGTTTATTTGTCGTGAAAAACGAGCATTTTCTTCAGTTGTTTTGGTTTGCTTCAAAAAAAAATCCTTTATTCCCATTAATTTTCCAATATTCTAAAAGATTTTTTTTTTTAAATGATATTTTCTACTTTTGAAATTAAAATTAAAAATAAAATTTGTATACAAAATAAAAATATTCAAAATAAAAATATTGCTAATCATAGATCATTCAAAAAATTTTTGCGCCATTTTGTATCGCTTATTGGAGACCATAATTTTTTTTGGAAATCAGTGTTTTTATTCAAAATAAGCACCGTTACAACGAATTTTGCCAATGTGATGCGAGACTCATCTATGCCTCAAATCCAGGCTATAAGAAAATCGCTCGGATTTTTTGAATAACCTACTAAGTAATGAAAAACATGAAAACAGAAAAGATTTCGAAAAGTAACAAAATGCGCATCAATTGGAATGAGAAAAGATGTGGAGAAAGAGGGGAGGGGAGAGGGGAAAGGAAAAAGAAGGATTGCTTTCATTATTAGATTCATTAAATTAAAAAATTAGCAATTTGATATGCCATTTATGAACAAGAAAAAAATTTAATAAGTAGATTCCAAATTTGCTCTGAAAAGAATTTTTTTAAAACCATTTCTTATCATTATTTGATAAAGTCTAAATGGAAAATAAAAAGTGTACAAAATAAATGAAGCAAATAAATTTAATTTTGCAAAATAAATTTTGCAAAATTTTGATTAAACAAAAATTTTGTTTTTTTATATGATTATATACTATAATATAATTTGCTTCACTGTTTTTTATGTTATATATATATATATACATTTTTTTTTAAGGGTCCTCACCATTACTGGTTAAACTCGCTCCACTGGCTTGTCATTGAGGCAATATGCCAGGGAATTCTCTGACGATAGAAATCAGAGTGAACTGCCAGCATCACCCGGATTTTTCTATAGGTTTATTCTTGCGTGAATCGAACCTTAGCATCGGTGCTCTTAATTAATTGAGCCACTGAGCCATTCTATCCTCATATTTGGCATTTCAGAGCTTTGCGAGAATTATTTTTGTAGAGTTTAAGTGGTGCCGTAAAACAATTTTGTCTCTACGAAAAGTGAAGTGATATATTGTATATATATATATATATATTTAATTTTGTTTTTTATGTAATTATATTGTTTTTTATATATATTATTATATATTATAATTGTGTCTTCTTCTTCTAATAGCTCTCTCATCATTCTGGTTAGGCTGGCTGCATTGGCAAGGAGGTAGGGCGTTTCCAAGCTGCACGGTTTGATGCCATCGTGGACTATAATAGCTGTCGACTAGAAGTCATTCCCTTTTCCATCGTCCAAGTCCATTTATTGCTGGTCAAACCATACGTTCAAAATCTTTCCTGACCGTATCAATCCAGGTCTTAATTGGCCCACTACGCTTTTGATGTCACCCATTACAGGATTTAGGAAAATATATATCAATATATATCAATTCTTGTTGTGGGCGACGAACAACATGCTCTAAGCGGCGAAGACGAATCTCTGCGATGGTACTGTCAATGGAAGTAGTATTTGATCAAAGGTGGATGTGATCATGTAAGATTTTATTCATTCGGCGAACACGTAAAATGTATTTTAGACATGAGTGGTCAAAGGCTGATAGGTTCTTAAGATCCTCCACTCTCATTAGTCATGTCTCGTAGTCATATAGCAAAATCGAACGAATGCGGCTGTAGATGCGGACTTCGTTTTTTTTCGTCAACAGGGAGAGCGCATTTCTAACTGCCGTAATCTGGGTTGTAATATCGTCTTTTGCCTGGCCATTTGGCATTAGAGTGGATCCAAGCTATTTAAAATTGGAAACTTCCTTGACCGGCAATGAATTTACAAAAAAAGGCATTTTATCAGCTCTTTGTACATAAGACATAAGGGCTTATATTATAATTATGTATTATTTATTATATATTATAATTATGCAACTTTTGGTTACAAACAATTATAAAATATGTGTACATATTTTTTTAAGAACCTTCACCATTATTGGTTCATTGTACTGGTATACGCACGAGACAAATATGCTAGTGAGTCCCTTGGCGATAAAGTACAGGCGAATGACGTGAGTCATGAGCATCATTCGGATTTTTGGACGGGTTCACTTTTTCGGGGAGTAGAACCTCGGCAAAGGCCCTTCAAATTGAGCAACAACCTACTGAGGCATTCTACTCCATAACAATAATAATGCAAACTTTTATGAATTTTTTAAAATGAATTAAATTTTTATTCTTATAGACTAAATATTTCTTTTTTTTAAATATTTATAAAATTATAAATTCTCTGAAAAAAAATTTTGAAAATTTATATTATATAAAATTAATATAATGCCGAAAATATTAATGTTATGATTACAATAATAATAATAAAAAAATAATAAATAATAATAATAAATAATAATAAAAAACCGATTTTAATTTTAGCTATAATTATATTCTTTAAAAAAATTGACGATAATTAAAGAAATTAGATTTTAAAAAGAGTTGCAAAATTATTATTTCTAGAAAATCGAATGAACAACTTTGTTATTTAAAGCAAAAATTTTAATATTACACATTGATGTTGATTTGGCTGATTTTTTACTGACTTCTAATAAAATCGCTTCGGCCCGAGGATCTCTTTGAGATGGAAATTTATAATATAGGGAAAGGATTTTTCACAACTGACTTCGCAAAATATTTTCGTAATGTTTGCAAAATGATTAATAAATTTACGCACAACATTTGCGAATAATTTCTTAACGTTTAAAAATGGTTCGAAATACCAAAAAACGTTTTTTTTTTTTAATAAAGCACTTATTTATTTGATTTAAAGCATGCAAATATATATTTAAAAAAAATCGTATATAAAATGTATAAGTAATAAATAAAAAATCGATCATTGCATGCATTAAAATTGGGTTGGAATTAGTATAAAGGAATCGTATCTGAAGAATTGTAAAGGTGTTGTAAAGATAAAAATATGAAAAGGTTTGAAAGGATATCAAACAGGTTTTACTGCATAATATAAGACCTGGCGATGGAGAGAGCAGAGATTTGAAACAAATAGTATAAAAGGGCTTTAAGATGCACTAGCGGATATTGCTACAAGAGGAGGTTTTAAGATGACCAGTCGCATTTTGAAATGGCAATATTAGATTCTAAAGAACTTGCCAAGGTTGCTTGAAAAGTTAAGATAGTGCAAGCAGTGTAAGATAATATCGGTAACGACGCAAAAGTAAAAGAGGTTTGATGGAGTATTAATGGAGTTTAATTTAAGAGGACATAAATAGCGTATCCGAAAAACGCCATTTTGGTTTATCTTTAAAATATAATTTAAAAAATTTATTACGATATTATTAAGCAAAAATTACCACGAAGTCAGCTGCAAAATACTTATAAGAAAATTATTTCTATTCTTGTCTTGACAGAAGTAAATCTATCCATCCAAAAAGCGGAATGCCGGTGGCTATTCTTCAATGCCTCTCAGTTTTCAAAATATCTCATATAATAGTAGTTAGTAGTCAGCGATATCATCCAAGCAGAAATGATAAGGAAATATATCATCAGGAAAAGATTATCAAATGAAAGTTGACGAATAGCGTTTAAATATCGATATAATAAATCTATATTTATTGGTAATTTATCTTTGAATAATCGTGATAATTGAGGTAATTGGTAACTCGTAAAGAAGTATGAAATATTCTGGAACTCCTAAATATCATCGAAAAATGTGAGAAAATTTACGTGAAAAAAAAGTAAAGGAACTGCCGTATATATAGGGGGGAAGAAAAAAGATGATAGGCATAACCAAGTAACTGGCTTTATGTACAAGAATATCTGCTATATATGATGACCCTCTCGATAGGAAATCTCCCAGAAAATCGTGGAGATTAAAGCCAAATTCTACGGAACTTCTCAATCAGATCAACAATAATAGCTAAACAACCAGATAGTTATATGAACCAGAAATCAGCACTGATGATAGATATACCAACTATCATAGGAACATTAGAAATAACGAATGTGAGAATCTAAAAAAATTCTAAAGCTGAAAGAGGGACTAGGAAAGATGTACAAAATAATAAAGTCTCAGTGGTATCAGTAAGAAAAATTGTGAGTCTTAAAATAGAAAAATTTTTCCACAAATTCCAGGAACTATAATAGAGCTTTCTCCTGAAATGCGTATACAAGAAGCAAGCAGTCAAAACATGCTGCGTAGAATCCAAGCTTGTAGAGGATCAGAGATTGAATATAGTCAATACCACAGGGTTTAAGTAAAGAAAATTTTATGCAAAGAATTATATAAAATTATTTTATATAATAAAATAAAATTACGGAAAAGGTCCCTCTTTAATTCCCTGCGGGATGTGAGGGATATCTTTTTCACATCCTCTACCGAATATTGAGAATAGGCAAGTCAGCGCCAAGATCTTCGCCTAGGAACCTATAATAACCTCAGTTCCAGTTCCTGCAGTGTCGTTTTATTTATACAACAGTGTTGTTTGTCATTCATAAACAGATAGAAAATTTGAAATATGAGTTTTGTACAACAACAAACAATCGGTTCATAATTTGCGGTCGTGCCAACGCATCTTCGTCGGTCACTAGCAATGAAAGATCCAGTGGGTTGTTGCTGATGCCGATGCTGATATTCTACGCCGGGCAGGAATTAACCTCTCATTCAAAAATTCAGGTAAAGTTGACGATCCGCTAGTCTTTCTTTTCTCAAGCGAGTTAGTTTGCTTCAACGAGTCAGCGGATCGAACCAGCAATGCTGAGCACTCTCAGGAAATGCGGCAAATCATATAACAGTGAATTAAATCGAAACGAATTAAAATAAAAATGAAAAAAAAAAAAAACTAATATGCATACGATTTATCGAGTGCAATAGTGCAATAAAACTAATCAAATTTCGTTGGAAAATTGAAAAATTCTTTAACGAGAATATTCAAATAAAGATTTGCAATATTTGTTTAACCCACAAAATTTGCGTTTTTTGGGAATAAAGAAAAATTTTTTCCAAAAATTTTTTATAAGGAAAAATTCAAAAAAATAC